GTGGTGCGTAGCGGCGGGTTTCGGGTTGGTTTCATACCAGCAATCCCCTGGGGCGTACCAAACCCACCTCAGAGCGGACAGACGTCACCGCCCTGTGCTCCCGCTCCGGGCAGCATCACCGTTTTACCCCAGAATCAGTTGTGTTTTGGCCACATTGTCCATAATCCACCTCAAAACCCTTTGCTTCGGGTTGTCCTTGCCCGGTGTATCCTGGCAGGGCCCAAATGTCTCTGCTTAACTGCAAACTATAAAGCGCTGCGTTGTGACTGCGTGCTGCCCCAAAATCACGCTGTAACCGTGGCTTTTCCTTTCCCCCCCACCTCAGCGGTTTCCTGCGAGGCGAGCGCGGCGCGCAGCCCCAGCTCATCGCCTTCCACCCCTGCTTCAAGAAAGGCGCCCTCCTGACCGTGGTGAGCGTGGTCCCCAGTTTCGGCAGCTGTTCTCGGGGCTCCCCATCACCATCCCTCAGGAGATCAACTCAGGGGCTGAGCAAGGGGGGTAGAAAAACCTCCCCCCAGTGTCCCCAGAGAGAGGAGAGGGTGGGGAAGGTGTCCTTGCTGGGCTCATGGGGCGGAGGGCTGTCATCCCCTGCCGCGTCCCGTGCTCATCTGCCTCCTTGCGTCCTTCTTCCCCCTCCAGTGCTGGTCCACGGGGAAGATCAGCCACATCCCCTTCTTCTTCGTGAGCGCCCACGTCCCCTGCGTCAGCCCCGGCCGCAGCCCCGTCACGGTCATGACCAGCGCCAGCGTGCGGGAACAGCCCCTCTTCTCGGAGCTGTGACAACACCCGCGTCCTCAACGGCGTCTTCCCGAAGAGCTGGGACGCTCCCTCCACAGCCTCCATCCTCTTCCTCCTGGGACACACGGCATGGCCTCAGGTGCCTTTAATACCTCCTCAGGCTCTCACAGCTCGCAGGGCTGGTGCTGTAGAGATTAAAACTGGTTCTTCCTCCCCGTTGCCGCTCGCCTTCTCTGTGCCTCGCTGTCCTTGCCCTGGGGGGGTGAAGTTTC